AGGACTGCAGCAATGGTATTGTGGCCCAGAGGTGCACCAAGTAGTGTGCTGTCGGTGGGTTTAATATTTATAAATATATATATTATATTATAACATATATATATATATGCTTCCTGTCCTTGTCAAAACGAATTAATTAACCTTCAGCCCCGTTAGTGAGACCTGAGGTGTTTACCTGATCTGTTGGCTAATTAGAACTGAACAACAAGATCTGAACCTGTGTTATTGAGGGAATTGTAACTCGCGAGGTCAGACTAGTGACTTTAGGGTAGAGGTCAGAGCTTTGGGGGTCACAACCAAAAGGTCCAGGGTTCAATTCCCGCAGCAGTACAGACACTGTTCAGCATGTTTTCTTTCACATGATGCCTCTGTTCATCTAGCAGTAAACTAGAACCCAGTTTTGGCAACTGTTGTGGCTGGCATTCTGGAGGATGATTAGTATAGTTGGCTATGGAGGGCTTCGCTAAGCCTAACAGGCTTCGTCTCCCTGATAACCGACACAGTTACTAACCAGATATATATATATATATATATATATATATATATATATATATATATATATATATATATATATATATATATATATATATACAGATGATTTAATTGGAGATTAAAAGCACTGAAGAATATTTGTAAAAACAGACGTGAATCTACGCAAAACGAGACGTGAATCTACGCAAAACGAGACGTGAATCTACGCAAAACATACAAATCAACTGTAAACAAAAATCTTACCACACAATTCTCTACCACAGGTAATTAGACAAATAAACAGGTTACGAACTGGAAACAAGCGACAAGCGTACTTGTTGCACGAAATCTGAACATACAAGTCTTTTCTGAGGCTGTGGAGGGGGGAGGGTGGTAGAAATAGCCTAAACTACTCTATCCTTTTGAGATGTATTTCTTTCTTGTCTCAATAAACATACTTGACCTTTCCTGAGGCCTAAACACCACCACTACAGCCGTAGGCCTCACTAACTTGTGTTCTCTATTAATATATTTTTCCAATCGAGTCATAACGTTCTGCTCCTAAGACGAAAGAGTCATGGTAGTTCTAAATTCCCTTCCAATTCCCCAAATTTTCTAGAATAGGTATATTCAAGGACGCGTGGTGACCCGACAGGTGCTCAGAAGTTCTGATCTGTGATGTGCTGACCTGACAAGTGCACCCAGTCAGAAGTTGCTGACCTCTGACCCACGGAACCCAAGAGGCCTGCAACCTCTTGGTAAAAAAGGTTAGGTTAGGGCGTGTATCGGGAGGTCGGGAGGGGCGTGTGTCAGGGGGTCGGGAGGCGTCGGCCTGACCACG